GGGGGGTAGAGGTACGGGTTAGGGTTAGGATAGGAGCTGTGGGGGGTAGAGGTACAGGTTAGGGTTAGGATAGGAGATGCTCTTTGAAGAGGGGGGTCTTCAAGAGTTTCTACAGGAATGCGAGGCAATAAAATCCCAGAAAGGGGGAAGAGCACTCTGCTTTTAAACAGAAAGCATAATCACATGGATTTGTGAGTCCTTTTGCCTCTCATCATAAGACAGAATTCCCCATTTTTCTGTGCAAAGAGCCACTTTTTGGTAAACGATTCCCCTGTAGTTCTGCTTTGTGCCACTAGAGGGCTCTACAGCTCAGAGAGCAAATGAGAAAAAGCCTGACGTCTAATTTACCTGCACTCCTCACTTTTAATCTCCGTAATCAGTGATGGTTTCATTTCGATATCTTATTTTTCTAGTTTTCTTTATCCTTATTTTCTGATTTTAAACTCTAAAACCAGTCACTTTGCTTCATGAGAAGGGTTTTTTCTGAAGGTGAGTGATGATAAAAATGTGACTCGGCCATGTTTTTGGGTTTTACACGAGGCTCAGAGGAGGCTACCCTCATTGGGGCTGCGCGTGTCCCTTCAAAAGAAGACAAAGTTATCCAGCTACATAAGAACAAACATGCACACAAAGCATTGATCGATCCACTGGACTGGGCCGGTTTGGACCATAAAGCTGTTAAAAGCAGAAATCTTAATCCACATGTACAGTGGGGGAAATAAGTATTTGACCCCTTGCTGATTTTGCAGGTTTGCCCACTTACAAAGAATGCTTATTTTTCCTCATCAGATGGTTATCCATTTTTATAAATTCATATGATGTGATTTTCTGGAATTTTCTTTGGGATTCTGTCTTTCACTGTTAGAATGTACATATGATTAAAGTTATAGATCGTTGCATTCTTTGTAAGTGGGCAAACCTGCTAAATCAGCAAGGGGTCAAATACTTATTTCCCCCACTGTATCATAAGGGCTCTGAGAGGGTGATAGGCTGGTCTCAAAGTAGCTGAGGCCCAAATGAGACGTGTTCCTGGGCTGGTCTGAGGTGGCTTTTACCTCCAGCTGTTCCAAAAAAGCTGCTGCTGGTTCACCGGGATGAAATCTGAGTCCCGGCAGAGGGAGGGAGAAAGGCAGAGAGACCACAGAGAGGAAGAGCAGAGGAAAGTGAGCGTAAAGGGAAGAGGAGAAACAGGAAGTGTCCAGAATGAAAAGGACTAAATGTTTTAAGGGGAATATAGCGACCAGAGACAAGTGCAGGCCTATTTCTGAGGTTCAAACTGGTTTAAGACGAGTGGATACAGTTTACTTTTAGATCTAACTTTCTGTTTCTCTCTGTTACGAACTTTGTATCACGTTTGAGGAGTAAAACGGGTTTGTGCTCAGGTCAGAATGAGGTCAGAACACTAAGAGCTAAAGTACCTGCTAAAGAAACCTGGAAACGGGTTTCTGTGAGCTGGGATTTGACCATTTTTTAGGTCCTAAATAATGTTATAAAAGGGTAAATTAGAGTTTCTTTACTCTAGTTGTTAAGTTCTAAAGATGGGACCATTTAGAAACTGAAAAAGGGTTTTTAAAGGATCAGTGAGGCTGTAAAAACTACATCTAGCTGACTTTTAAAAGCATTTTCTCGTGCTTCAAAGCAACAATTTGTTTAATTTGTTTGAAGGGAGCTGGGTTTTGGGGTTAGCATTTAAGAGGATCTCTTCTCATTTGGAATAAAAGCAGTGAAATGTAAAGAATCTGATCGAATTAAAGCAAATCAATCTGATTTCAAAGGTAGGGTTCTTAACCAGCAGTGTACCTGCACACGGCCTAATAACGCCTAGTCATTTCCTCACTTCCATCCCCCAAATCAGGCTGTAAATGCTCTTTATTAGAGTCTCCGTGTCAAACTCTGGTCCTCTGGTTTTAGACGTTTCAGTTTCCTGATGGTGCATGGATATGAAACAGGTGTTTTGAATCAGGGAAACATCTCCAACCTGCAGGGCAGCGGCCCAAAGAGGACCAGAGACTGAGATCCCTGCAGAGCTCTGAGGACCAGGTCCACAT